ATGTAGGTAAACTTTGTAGGGGTGGAAGGGGCTCCTCATCCACCTCAGCAGGAGGACACAAAGAGCAGATGGAATGTGGGTGCCTACTCTTTCATTTTTATTCTAGTAACTTGTAAGTTATGTTCTTAGGCTATTAAGATCTGGGGGAATCCAGTTATAAAAAATTAAAAACTGACAAAATATCTCTTAGACTTGGTAATTGGTAAGTTCTTGGTGGTTTTAGGAGAATTTTCAGGGGATGATGGCTGAAACCATCTACAAAGGATAGGGAAGGAAGGAAAGGTAGGCAAGAAAGTGCAGACAGCATTAAGTGCCCTTCAAAGATATTTGGATAGAGGAATGAAGTAGTCACAAAGTGGCCAGAAACGGAAGGAGAGAACCCTTTACAGAATGGAAGACGCTCAAGCAACTTTGTTATGCTTAAGAGAAAGCACCAATGCAGAAGGGGTCAAAAACAAGGGGCAGGCAGAGGCTAATGRAGCAAAGTCTCAGCATCAGTGGAGATAAAAGGATACAGAAACTGCGGAAGTTGTTAAGATGGGCAGTTCTCTACAGCAGGGCTCAGCAGGCTAGCTGTTCTCAGATTCAGGAAAGGCAGAGATGAGCCCCAAAGAATAGGAGTGCAAGAGAATCAGAGGTACTGGAAAGGGAAGAATTCACATGACCCTCCAGTGATCCAGACTGAGGAAGAAGGAGGAGGGAATGGAGGAAGCAGAAAGACTGGAGCTAGAGGTCTCTAGTAAGTTAAAGATCAAGGAAGAGGTGTGGGGAGTTAAGATTGTCTAAGTAGGAAGATAGAAGACTATTAGGAACGTGACATTTAAGATTTCTGAGGAAGAGCACCTTATGCAAATTATTTAACCTCTCCAAGTCTCAGCCCACTCATTTGTAAAATGGTACTATAAAATCTTGCCCATAAAGCATTCTTTTCGGGCTAGGGATGTGGCTCAAGCGGTAGCGAGCTCGCCTGGCATGCGTGCGGCCTGGGTTCAATCCTCAGCACCACATACAAATAAAGATGTTGTGTCCGCCGAAAACTAAAAAAATTTTAAAAAATTTTAAAAATTAAAGCATTCTTTTCTCTATAGATTAAATGACCAAGCATAAAAGTGTGGAGTTTGAAGAAAGAAATTATAGCATTTGCAGGCCAGTAAATGGATGGAACTGTAGACTATCATGCTAAGTGAAATAAGCCAATCCAAAAAACCCAAAGGCCAAATGTTCTCTCTGATATGCCCATGCTAACACACTAGGTGGGGAGGGAAGAATAGAAGTTCACTGGATTAGACAAAGAAAAATTTTGGAACGGGAGACGGGATGGGAATAGGAAAGACAGTAGAATGAATCGCACACTACTATCCTATGTTCCTATATGAACACATGACCAGGGTAACTCCACAGCATGTACAACTGCAAGAATGGGATCCTACTTAGAATAAGTTATACTCTATGTGTGCATAATATGTTAAAATACATTCTACTGACATGTATATTTAAAAAGAACAAATAAGGGGCTGGGGCTGTAGCTCAGTGGTCAAGTGCTTGCTTCACATGTGTGAGGCACTGGGTTCGAGCCTCAGAACCATATAAAAATAAAGATACTGTGTGTTCATCTACAAATAAATGTTTTTAAAAATCTAGAAAAAAAAAGAACAAATTAAAAAAAAAAAAGAAGTGTGGTGTCTGGGACATGAGAGGCACTCAATATATGTGGAAAATAAAGGAGAGTGTGCCACTTTCCCTCTATGGACCTGTGTCCAATTCCTTACTGATTGTTTGATCTACTTGTTGAGAGAGGTGTGCTAACAACTCTCAACTATGTTGTAAATTTGTCTGTTTTTATTTTGCTTCCATTGCTTTCCTTTTGCTTTATATATTTTGAAGTTATACTGTTAGGTGTTTATAAATCTGTGGTTGTTCTAACTTTCTGATGGACCTTTTATTATTATGAACTARCCCTTCTGTTTCTCATAAGACTTTTTACCCAAAATTCCATTTTTACTAAAATTAGTGTAAATATATCAGCCTTTTATAGTTAGTATTTTATGGATTTTTCCCCCATCCTTTTAGTTTCAAGATTTCCAAATTATATTTTAGTTGTGGTCTCATAAGATAACAGTTTATAACTGGATTCATTTGCTTTGTCTAGCCTGGCAATCTTTTTTCTTTTAACCATATCATTTGATCCACTTATATTTATTAAAATACTAATATTTGCTCATGTGCAAATATATATTTGTTTATTTATATTTTATTATTTTATATTTTCCCAGATTTCTTTAACTTGCTTTGGGGAATGGGAYGTTGAGGAAGAACCAAGGGCTTCATGCATGCTAGGCAAGCCCTCTACTACTGATCTACACCCCAACCCCTTTAATTTTATTTTGAGATAGGATCTCCATAAATTGCCCAGGCTGGCCTCAAACTTGAAACACTCACCTCAGGCTCCTGATTAGCTCAGATTATAGGTAGTCACCACCATGCCCAGCTTCTTCTTGATTTCTTTTTTTTTTTTTTTTTTTAGAGAATTTTTAATATTTATTTTTTAGTTGGCGGACACAACATCTTTGTTGGTATGTGGTGCTGAGGATCGAACCCGGGCCGCACGCATGCCAGGCGAGCGCGCTACCGCTTGAGCTACATCCCCAGCCCCTTCTTCTTGATTTCTTGATTATATTTTTTCTTATTACACTTTTCTCCTTTACGAGTTTGCAAACTATATTTTTTTGMTATTTTTAGTGGTTGCACTAGACATTTAACATGCACATTTTGTCTAAGTCTAAACTAATCAGTATCTTTAATTTGTTATCAGATAGTACAGGAACCTTAGAATGAAGTCAAATTTCTCCTCTCTTAGCTTATACACTACTGATTTTACATAGTTGAATTTTATCTTGTTTTTAAAACCCTACTAACCATTGCTACTACTGTTTTTCAATGTTTGCTTCGTCTTCCCACATACACACCACTTTCTTTGTTCCACATTCCTTTCTGACTCTCATTCCTTCCATCTGGAATAATTTCTTTCTGCCTGTTAGTGGCAAATATAGTTTTTGTTATTCTCATCATGCCACTATATTTTCTTACTCTTAAAACATTTTTTCTCCAAAAAAAAAAAAACATTTTTTCTCTAGTTTTAGAATTCTTGCTTGACAGTCATCTTCTCAGCATACTGAAGATACAATTCCACTGTCTTCCAGCTTTTGAGAAATCAGCTGTTTTAGTCTAATTGTCACCAGTTTGAAAACAATCTGCATTTTGCATTTTCACAATGATATGGCTAGTAACAGGTCTCTTTTTGTCTTTTAGGTGGTATATTGGAGTCTTGAGTCTATGGACTGATGAATTTCTGGATGAGTCTTAGCCACTATTTAAATATTGCCTATGGGGCTGGGGATGTAGCTCAGTGATGTAACGCTTGCCTGGCATATGTGAGGGGCTCTGGGTTTGATCCTCAGCACTGCAAAATAAATTTAAAAAATAAGACAGGGGCTCTTCCCCAAATAAACATTGCCTCTGCCCATTTTCCCTCTCCTCTCCTGGATCCTTGCATTATATGTTCCTTGGATCTTCTCACCCCCTTCTCCATGCCTTTGAACTACATTTTCATATTTTCCATCTTTTATTTGTGCTGCATTTTAAAGAATATTTTCAGGGCTGGGGTTATAGCTCAGTGATAAAGCGCTTGCCTAAAATGTGTGAAGCACTGGGTTAGATCCTCAACACCATATATAAATAAATAAATAAAGGTATTGTGTCCCTCTACAACTAAAAAAAAATTTCTAAATTAAATTTTTTTTTAATTTAAAAAAAATACAGAGAGAATATCTTCAGATGTGTCTTCCAGCTCTAATTATACTGCTGATGTACTCAACTGTATCTAATCGTCTTTTAAACCCAGTTATTATATTGGTAGACTTAGGGCTGTTTTTTTTTTTTTTTTGCTGTTGTTTTGTTTTTTGGTACTAAGTAGTGAATCCAGGGGTGCTCAACCACTGAGCCACATCCCCAGACCTTTTTTTTTTTTTTTTTTTGTATTTTATTTAGAGACAGGGTCTCGCTGAGCTGCTTAGCACCATGTGAAGCACTGAGGCTGGCTTTGAACTCTCGATTCTCCTGCCTCAGCCTCCTGAGCCACTGGGATTACAGACATGTGCCACCATAAACTAGTGGTAGACTTAGTTTTGATAGTTTAAATTTCTAAACAGACATTCTATTTGTTCTTCTTCAGATATACTTGGCCTTTCATCAGTCCCTTATTCCTTGCTCAAATTTTCAAGCTTCTCTTTCTTTATTGAACAATATGAAGGGTTTTTAAAAAATTTTTATAGTTGTACACAATACATTTAGTTTATTTATTTATTTTTATATTTTTAAATTTTAAAATCAAACCCAGTATTTCACATGTGCTAGGTAAGTGCTCTACTACTAGAGATACAGCCCCAGCCCCACAATGTAAAGGATTTTTAAAAATTTAAATGCATAACACTAGGCAAAATTATTTAAAGTCAATAAATTTTCATTTAAGGAATTTCACATGCTGTAATTCCTTCACTGCTCCACGAAGTAACCTTAGTTCCTCTAAAGCTGAAGTTCAAGATTTACCTTCAAGATAGCCTTTTTAAAAAGAGCTGATGCTTAATCCAGTTGTTCCATCAGCCTATGGTTATTTTATTTGGACTTTTAAAATCTTCATTTGAGGGTTGRGGATATAGCTCAGTTCGTAGAGTGCTTGGCTCGCATGCACAAGGCCCTGGGTTCAATCCCTGGCACCACTACCACCCAAAAAAAAAAAAAAAATCTCCATTTGAATTATGAATATATTGATGACAACTTCAAAATTCCCCATCTAGGATCTTTGAAATCCAATTTCTTCAAGCAATTTACTTTGGGTCACTTTTAYAATTCCTAAGCCATCACATTCAGGATACTCCATACCTATAGGATATGCCAATACTTAATATAAAAAAATATTCATTAGATCTTTCATACTTTCTGTTAGCTGTCTAGTAGTTCCTTCCCACAAACTTAACAAATGGTCCTGTGAGTGAAGCAAAGCCACCGAGTTGTCCTCTGAGGTATTTCCAATGATGTGCCACTACTGAAGAAGCCCCATCAGACTTAGCCTCAACCTCAGGCTTCTCTTTTACTTGTTAAGCATTTTTTTTTTTTTTTAGAGAGAGAGAGAGAGAGAGAGAGAGAGAATTTTTAATATTTATTTTTTAGTTTTCGGTGGGCACAACATCTTTACTTTTTATTTTTATAGATGCTGAGGATCGAACCCAGCGCCATGTGCATGCCAGGCAAGCACGCTACCGCTTGAGCCACATCCCCAGCCCACTTGTTAAGCATTTAAACGTAATTATTTTGTTGCTTGTCTGAAAAGTTCACTATCTGAAGTCTATGCAGATTTGTTTCCACGTACTATTGTTTGCTCAGCATTCTGTAGTTTTCACCTTGGAGCTGCTTATTTCTTTGAAATTATCTGCAAGAATTCCTTGAGGTGCAGGATGAAGAGGGTTTTTCCAGGAGGGTTTGCATTTGATGTTTGTGGGCATAATCAGACTGGGACCACTTTAAATCGAACGCTAACTTAAAAATTTCAGGCTAAACTGGGTGCAATGGTGCATGCCTGTAGAATGCCTGTAATCCCTGCTGAGGCAGGAGGATGGTGAGTTCAAAGCCAGCTTCAGCAAAAGCAAGGCACTAAGCAACTCAGTGAGACCTGTCTAAATAAAATACAATGGCTGGGGATAGAGCTCAGTTGGTAGAGTGCTTGCCTCACATGCACAAGGTCCTGGGTTCAATCCCCAGCATCACAAAAACAATAACCACAACAAAATAAAATACAAAATAGGGCTGAGGTTGTGGCTCAGTGATCGAGTGACCCTGAGTTCAATCCCCGGAACCCCCTGAAAACAAAAAATTCAGGCTATTAAATACTATATATTTGTGATTCTTAGGGAATGTTATGGTTTAGATATGAAGTGTCCCCCAAAAGTTCAATTTTCAGAGGTGAAATGATAGGGTTATGAGAGCCTTAACCTAATCAGTGGACTAATCCAATGACAGGGATTAAGTGGGTGGTAAATGTAAGAAGGTAGGGTGTGACTGGMGGAGATAGGTCATCGGGGGCATGCCTTTGGGTTTATGTTTTGTCCCTGGTGAGTGGAGCTCTCTCTGCTTTCTGAATTGCCATGTCTTGAGATGCTTGCCTCCTCCACACCCCCAGGATGTTCTGCCTCACCTTGAGCCCAGAGTAACAGAGTCAGCCATCTATGGATTCTGAGACCTCTGAAACCATGAGCCAAATAAACTTTTCCTCTTCTCATCATTCTTGTCAGGTCTTT